ATAATGGTTACTATATGGTTAATGATGGTTAATAATAACCTGGTTGGTGGTGCAATGTGCCCATCTTGAAAAATGATGGAGTTCGTCAATGAGAAGGATCACATCCCATATATGTTAAGGAAACCAAAAAATGTTCCAAACCACCAATCAGTTGATTACTGGAGGGTAGCCTCAATGGTGATTATTTGTGGAGCAGCTGGTCACATGAGCCACTGAAACTATGTGTGACAATGTGTAGCAACATAAACCAACTGTTCCAGTTCTTTTGCAGAAAGCACAGCTGAGAAGTTGAGGTGTCTACAACATCTACAACTACAATTACAAGTACAATGGTACAAAACCAGTTTACCCCATCAAGTACAGCCATTTCGGAATCTAATGAACCATTGCTCTTCGGTTTTTTCCAAAAGAATCAGAAAAAAAACCTATTAGGACTTCCACCAAGGGCCCAGATGTCCTGAAAGCAAAGTAAAAAAAACTGTTCTTTCCTATCATCACCCGCAGGAACACTTAAGATAATTTAAGATCTGGGTCCTGAAAAAATCGCGACATTTTCAATATTGTGGGTAACACATGGTAACACAATGCCATAAAATGCCATAAACCATCCCCAAGTTCACAATAAATCAAGATAATAATGTAAATAGGTGGTATAAATTCAACCATTCCCAGTCATGGCTGGTAAAAATGGCATTGTTTCACCCACCGCTGGGGGTTTCTATCACCCACCAAGGATCCACGCGAGGTGGGCCAAACCACCACGGGAGTCTTCCATGGAGGCGACCTGGGTCGCCACGTTTTTGGGCCGGTCGCCACGTGGGTCGGGAACGTTTCTTTCGGCCCGTTCATGGCGAATCTGAGATACGTTGCAAAAAGACAAAGGAAAAAAAACTGGTTGGTGGTTGAGCCATGTTGAGCCTACACCTCTGAAAAATGATGGAGTTCGTCAGTTGGGATGATGACATGCCCAACTGAATGGAAAAATAAAATTCATGTTCCAAACCACCAACGAGGTATGATTTGTGTATCCCCATTGATCATCTTTAACCATGAAACATGCACACTCACAAAGCAGTCAAAAAGAGTTGGAGGGTCGCAAGAATGCAGTTTTCGATTATCAAAACCCACAACATTGAACCGGATAGCATGTCATTGTCATGATCTACACTTACTGCGTTTAGCAGGGCTCCTAAAGCCTTCCCTCGACATCACAAGACTCCACACGGAGACCGAAGCAGATGCAGATCGATTGGAAGCTGCGGTAGTGGTGCCTGTCAGATAGCTTTCTCATCAGAAGTCCAACCTCAAACATCCTCAGTCACTACGTCACTAATCGTCACTACGTACACACTTCAACGACTTTTTAAAACCGGGAATACATCACCCAGGCCTTGAATACTTGGGACTCCTTTTGAAGCCTCGCAGATGGGATGCAGTGCAAGGCACAAACAAAGTGAACTATACATATTCTGGGAAAAAAAACGATTGGAAGACATATGAAGAACAATTTCATAATTATCCGCTAAGAACTCACTATAATCACCTATAATCACCTATAATAATTATGATTTCTAAAATGAGCCACCAGAAAATCGTCTGTTGCTCTATAGGTTGCAGGTGGGATCACCATCCCAATATGGATGGGTGGTTCACCACTCACCAGTTGATATATAGGCTTTATGGATGTTTATGGTAGGTAAATGTAGATCATATATCTGTACTTATTTGGGCTTATCCACCGACTTGTATCTACCTAGTATTACTGGGAGTTTGGGGAAAATCTGCCTTTCTGGTATTTCCTGCGAATCTTATACCCTCTGAACGTCTCAGATGGTGTTCACCGGTGGACCCGAATTATGCCCGAATCATCGAAAACCCGCAGGTGAAGAATGGTACATTGAAATGTAAAGATCCCTGGTCCAAGAATGGGAAAATGACAAGTAAGCTGACAAAGAATGACAAAGATATGATATCACTGAATCTGGTTGGTGGTATACCTACCCCTCTGAAAAATATGAGTTCGTCAGTTGGGATTATGAAATTCCCAACTGAATGGAAAGTCATAAAATTCATCTAATTGGTGGGTTCAACCTACCCCCCTGAAAAATATGACTTCGTCAGATTGCATCATCATCCCAACTCTTGGGGAAAATAAAAGCCATGTTCCAAAGCACCAACCAGACTAATAATGATCCCTAGTGAAAACTGGTAATCCATAGAATATAGATATTTATATCCATTTTATATCCATAATAATGTTCCAAAGCACCAACCAGGAATTCTTTGATTCTAGATGGATCATCGTCATCCTTCTGGATCAAAAACTGCAGCCGGAGCCCAGTCACCAACATTTTGCGCGCGAAATCAACGTCTTTCATCGGCTTTTGAGTTTCGTGTTTTATCTGGTTGGTGGTGCAATAACCATCTTGAAAAATATGAAAGTCAATGGGAAGGATTATCCCATATATATATATTATATATATATATATATTATGGAAAAATATGGACAACAAAAAATGTTTGAAACCACCAACCAGTTATGGCTTTAGCTACCACCAGTTGCTTGGAATAGGCTTGGAAAGCCACGCAGGAAAATATCCCCCTCGGGCAATGTGAACCAGGTCAGACTCAGCCATGAGAATTCCGACGGTGACATACCCATGGGGGGATACAACATCAAGCAAATAGATGGTGAATGGACTGCTGAATTGAACTGGCGGTGTACCAGCGGAAAGGGCAGACTAAATCAGCGTCTGCCTTCCAAGGCACACGAAAGAGGCCAGGCAAAAATGGTTATGCAACTTTCGGCCTGAACCGACTGAACTTTGGAAGTGAGGAATTCGACAGAGGCACCACGATTCAATGGTCCCTGTCTGCACAACAGAGATGATTCCGAGACGCGTTGTAAAAAAAGCGCTTCAAAGAAAATGAAAGGAAACCACATGATGAAATGTACACTCAATGGCAAACACACTTACAATTATATACCACCTACACTGTAGGGGCTGCTCAAGGGACCAAATTTCCTTGCTATTTGTAGTACAGTGCCCCCCAGCTAGTCACGATGATTTCCAAAATTTAGGCACGACTTTAAGCAGTCAACTGTAGGGGCTAATTGAGAAATGTGTGCTGCAAGATGCTGCAAGAATCCGAATCACTGGACACACATCAAATCCTGCCAAAATATGTCTTGGAAATCAATGATAAGAAACGCCCTGTTGGATCATAGTAACTTATGAAAATGAATGGCCGGTGATTGCACATAGCTCCGAAATCCTCTCTGTTGCATTCCACCCTCCACGACTGCAAATATCAAGCAGGGCAGGACCATCTTCATGCCTTTCAAGTGCTTTAAAAGGCGTTGCATTCATGGTCATTTAAGAAAACCACATTACTGTCACTGTGAAAGATATTACTTAAGTACATATGATATGTGTAGTGTTGGGCACTCACTTAAAGATATTTTGCTGTTTGTTTTCCGTGTCGAGGACGATGTTCCAAGTGTCACACTTAGAAGATATGTTTCTTTGAATTTCTCACACCTACTGTTGAACAAACATTGATAGCGATTGCAAATGCATTAATTGGTATCAAAACTGATACCTAGAATGATTTATATATTTAATTCAACGCACCATGAACTAACATACCATTGATTCTAACTTGGTTTTTTTCCAACAAAAGAAAAGCGAATAGACCATAATGTTGAATAATGTTGTCTAGCCAATAATGATACCTTGTCAATAGTAGAAACTTTTTTCCCAACTCCAGTTTTTTCTCCAATACTAAAAGTCAATTAGCCTAATTTACTTTTAGTATTGCCAAAAAACTCATGTTCTGACCTTGTCCAGAGGGCATGGTATAGTATCCAGACAGATTCCAAGAAGACCTTACTATTGGGTTCCAGGAATTTACTATTGGAATGCTGACCCCCCCCCTTAACAAAAAAAAATAGGGGGGGTTATTATTAGGCAGCCTACATTAAAAACAATCTTGTCACAGCCCCGCACCTTTACAGAACATCCAACAGGTACGTAATCAGAATTGATCATGCTTCCTGTAAACATCCTGTAAACATCAAACTCACAACAACCATACCAACGTATACATGGACCTGTCCCGTTTGTGATTCAAACTCATATGAACTTTGCTTTCCAGTTCCAGCCCTTCATCTTAAGCACAAGTAACGTTTTAGCTTCTAAGTGTGAGGTCAGAGATTTTTTTGTATCTTCTAAGTGACTGTCCGGCAGTATGTACGTACATGCTGCAGATTAGACGTTTTTTTTCTTTCATAACTAAAACAAGGGGGGAAACCAGCTCTGAGCACTAAGCTATACGCAAACATCCTCCGGCTCAGGTCCTGTGCTCGCTGGAATGAACATAACATCCATCAATTGCATCCAACAGTCGCATAGTATTTCAAAACTGGTTGGTGGTTGAGCCTACACCTCTGAAAAATGATGGAGTAAGTCAGTTGGGATGATGACATTCCCAATATATGGAAAAATAAAAGCCATGTTCCAAACCACCAACCAGAAAACATTTCAAACCATATTACAATATCACAGAATATTTACATAATCAACTCACATACGATCATTGTGGTAGTCAAAGGGGGTACAAGAACGAATACTGCATTTTGCTTCTCTGATGATAAGTCATCGCTCCCTGAAAGCTGACTTCGAACGTTGGACAGGGAACATATGGTTCAACGGGTAAAAACTTGATGAGGATGAGATGGGCGATGCTAACCCTATCAAGAACAAATGATTTGCCCATGCATCTATCGTGAGGGCCCTAGCCCTCTGAGTGATTTTCATTTAGAGTTATTATTCTATGCTTATCTCGAGTATCAATATCAATCTGAACTACCAAATCAAACGCTATCCGGGCAGGTTCATTGGCACTCCTGATGTTCGGGAACTATCGAACTGGCGATTGCTCATCATTTTTCATGAAAATCTCCTAAGATTTGCCACGCCCTGGCCCCACCTTAGGCCCTAGGCGAGGAGGCTACTTGCTTGCATGGCATGATAGCAAAGTCCACCAGAAAAGATGTGGAGCAGACCTCACGAGAGACTGCACGCTGCAGATAGAAAATGAAGCAGTGAAAAGAAAAGAAACGAAAATCAAGCAGTGAAACATGGAGTTATAACATTTTACACCCAACATAAAACGATGGATTTATGACTTTTTGGGCCAATATTCAGAATATTCATGGAGGTTTAACATGGTTTAACATGCAATTTACCCCAGAATTTGCGTGGTGAGTTGAGCTCATCTGACATCCACATTTTTCCAGTCGAGGTGTGGTGCAATGGTGACCATGGTGGCCATGTGACAATGACCCCAGCCACCAACGCGCAAGTACATCATCACAGCACCCAGGGCAAAGTAGCTAGCTCCAAGCCTCAGCGATCGATTCGGACCCAGTTTGAAAGTTCAGCTAGCAAGAAGTTGTGGAAAGCCGCCCCTTTGAATCAAACCGTGCAGGAGCCAACATACTAATATGACATATTGAAGATATGTTTATTATCTCCTGAGCGCAGCCCTTTACGAAATTTTCAGTTGGCGAATTCAAATTTGCCAGTTCTTCAAATTCTCACCTTGAATTGCAGCTGAAAAATGGGTTGCCTTTCTGAACTACGATCCAAACCGGTGACCAACCGGTGACCAAGAGACAACACGTTGACGAAGTCGCCTCTAGGAGTGGACGGTGATGCTGTGCATCTTGGTATGTTTACCATCCTCAAATGGGACTTGTTTCTGGCATTGGGTGGATCCCACATTAGTTAGTAGCCATAGCTAAAACCCGTGGTTAGTAGCTATCTATCATTATGATATATATATATATATATATATCACCATTTAAAAGCCAATTAACTATATGTATATTATATATATATATATGTATGATTATATCCCGGCTAACCATTATTAACCATTATGAAACACTATTCATAAACGATTTTTAGTGTCATTAAATGTTATCAACCACCATTACCCTCTGGTAAACTAACATAGCTATAGAAAACGGCCCATTTATAGATGGTTTACCGGATTTACCTATTAAAAATGGTGTTTGTCTATAGCTATGTTAAATTACCAGAGGGTAACTATTAACCACGATGAACAATATCAATGGGAATTTCAGGATCCTAAAATGGAGGTACCTACCATATATAAGGCCTAGTTTTCAGGCCTATGTAAGGGAATATCCCCACAAAATATGGCCCAAAATATGGTACTAACGTACCTCCATTTTAGGATCCTGAAATTCCCATTGACAATAAGATGGGCTTGGCTTCCCATAGCTCCCCCTGTTGCGCCTCGGAGCAGAGGCGGCAAGCCGTACATCACCACGCCCACGCCGATGTTCCCCTGGGTCGGAGAACCCCGCAGGTGAAAAGGAAAAGAGTGGATTTATGTGGATTTAATGGTTACCCTCTGGTAAACTAACACTTTGCTATGGAAAATCATCATTTTTAATGGGAAAACTAACTATTTCTATGGCAATTTTCAATAGCTATGTTAGTTTACCAGAGGGTATCCCAAATTCATATGAACATTCATGAAGATACTAATGGGATATAAGTGATTTAACCAACAATATGATACGGGTTACCAGGTTAAACTGAGGATTCACTACTCCAATTTTATATGGCATGTGGGAAGGAAACACACCATTTAACCAGTGGATTTGAGGGTAAGCCTCGCTCTTGATACCCTTGAATCATATCCTGTCCAAGTGGAAAATCACCCATCAAAATATGTATGTATATATATATATACCATTATATACCCTCTGGTAAACTAACATAACTATGGAACATCACAATTTTTAATGGGCAAATCAATTATTTCTATGGGCCATTTTCCAGTTCGCAAACTGTGGCGTTAGTTTACCAAGCCGGGTAATCCATTCACTGACTTGATTGATCAATTTTACGGAGAGAAACCACACAAATAACGAATGAGGTGACCACCAAAATGTGCACGCCTGAAATTGAAGAATCACAATTATCTTTTTTTTTTCCAGCATCTTTGACAGCCACATTTTTTTCTGGTGCCTGTATGTTTTTCAGGGGCGCAGTTAATGTTGCAATATGCTGGGTGCTGCATGCCCCAAACATGATAAAATGTATGTCATCGTCAACTCGAAAATCTATGAAAATCTCGCATTCATGGGCATTATCTTCCCAACTCTGTGAAAATCATTGCCCCACATCCTCCAAACCAAGTGATCAAATGCAGCCAAGTCGCCATGCGCTCCAGGAGGCCAGCGTCTTTGGCAGCCCAGAGGCGGCTGATGAAATACCTGTTTCACGGCTAAATTTTCGAGCTGGATTTCAAGTGAGTTAAATATATGATTAAAATTAAATAAAAATAAAACATATGGGGATGGGTCAAAACCCTGGTACCTAGTGAACCCCAAAATAGCTGGTAAATGGATGTTCATCCCACTAAAAATGGTATTAATAGGTATTGATCCATACCCATATTAAGGATGTGGACACCATGAAGTTTGGAAATCTCACCAGCCAAAACGAGGAACTTCAAATGGAAAAGATGGGTCATTAATAACTAGCCAAAATGGGAGATGTTTTATCACTGATAATTCAGCAGCAGAGATGTGGAGTTTATCACGCTGGAGTTTATCACGTGAGATCCGCACCTCTGTGAAAGATGTTCAAATGGAGGAATGTGAATCATGAAATCACTGTAAATGATACAGATGATACAGGGATTGAGCCAAACACTAACATCCATAAATACATCCCTGAATGTCTGTAGTACATTCTCAGGTAAACTTAAGTGTATGCGTGCATATCTATACCCAAATCTCTACAAGGTGTCAACGACAATCCCATCCGAGTTCAGTGATCTAAGTCAGGTCCGATTCATAGCCTGGTTGGTGGTTGAGTTCGTCAGTTGGGATGATGACATTCCCAATATATGGGATATATCCATCTATACTGGTTGGTGGTTTTAACCCTCATCTTGAAACAATCCATGATATCCTCAAAATATTAGTCAATGGGACGGATTATCCCATATATTATGAAAGTCATAAAATTCCATGGTTCCAAACCACCAACCAGCGATTCACGTTTCCGAGTCGTACTGATAGTGGATAGGGATCCAACCTTGCCGGCATCCAACACGAATCTAGACGTTCCCTTGCCGGCCCGTGTTTGATGACGGATGGTAGATGTGCAATGGTATATTGTTGGTTTGGTTACATATATTCCATGGTATCCCCATGATATCCTCACTAATTGAATCATATTGAATCCCCATCATATGTTTCTGAGCCTTAATTTGATGGTAAATATACCCATGGTTTCCGGTTTCGATTCTCCAATCCTATGAGCCTTTCTTTACTTAATCATCAGTTTCTAACCTGGATATGTCCATTGTATTCCCATGATATTCCCACTATACCCCCATAAATCCATGAGCATGTAAACATTAATGCAAACGTCAACGATGAAGATAAGCCATGATCTTCCGGATCCTCATCTTATTAGTGGCATTATCCCAAAAAAATACTCCACTATCCATTACCCTCTGGTAAACAAACATAGCTACTGAAAATGTCCATAGAAATAGTTGATTTACCCATTCAACATGTTGATGTTCCATAGTTTTTTGTATGTTTACATTTAACATATTGATTTTCCATAGATTCTTGTATGTTTGCCAAAGGGTATTAGTTCCCCATCTTCCATCATTGATAATCATAGTATCCTCATTTTTAGTGGAGCCTTGGGTGCCCAAGGCGCAGATTGAGGATCACACAGATCGTCGAGAAGATTTCGTCCTGGGACAAGGCCACGCCTGTGACCAGGCCTCAAACGCAGGCAATTCATCAGCATTTTTCATGGATTTGTTTTTCCGATTTCTATCTTTTTAAGGGGATACTATATATATATATGTGTGTAAGTATGGATAGAATATTATATATATATGTACTTATGGATTAGAATATATCTATATATGCATACAATAAGTCATATATCTATATATGGAAAGATGGTTTTAGAAGAACAAAAAACGACATAAGTCATGGTCTAACTTCAATACGCTTCGAACAAATCTGACTTCTGATCAGGCAGCAGGGTAGTATCATATACAATATAATATAATAAAATATAATATAATATAATATAGTATAATATAATACAACATTAATATAACAAAAAATAATAAAATATAATATAATATAATACAATATAATATAATACAATATAAATATAATATAATATGAATATAAAATTAAAATATAATATAGTATAATATAATATAATATAGTATAATATAATATAATATATGTATACATAGATAAATAAATGAATAGATAAATATATAAATAAATATACATACCACGATGCTGTTCTTCCCATAATAGAATCCCCTACAATCATCGCGACAATCAAATTGGCTGCTGATGCCAATCCCCCACTAAAAAAAAAATAGTATCGTCAGTTGACTACCCATATTGGTTTTATATAATCATTTAAATTTCTGACTAGTCTTGGTTGAATCCCTATTTTGCTTCTTCAATCCCCATACTTATTGCTGTTTATTGTTTGTTTCCACAGGGTTGTGGGCTATCTTGGATGAATCCTCATCATTGTCATATGTTGGTAATTTTCCAGAATTTTCCCCCATCTCAACCTAAACCCAAGTCACAAGTGAAGTGAATGAAGCTTTGATCCAACCGCCGCGCCTCAAGTCGCGAAAGCGCATTGGAAATCTGACCTCTTTGGCCCACCAAAGAAGGTGGTATTTCCTATCAAGAATATTGCTTTTGTGTTTTTCGAGGGGTCCCTAATTTTGAGAAACCACCAGCCGGGTGGATTTAAAATTAAAAACCACTATGGTTGATTTCTAAGAGGGCAATGTCACATTTTGAAGGAAAATATCAGCTCTTATAATCATGATAGTTCGTAAAGCATTATCAATCCGATAAACCCCATCTTTGGGGATGGATCTAGATATAAGGATATCAGGATATGCCAAAACATGGACCATTTTGAGGATACTTCATACTGAACATGGTTATTGTGATATTTTCCAAAGGGTCCTGTTATAGTCTGTTGACCTGCCAGCCTGGTTGTTTTTGGGTGAGATCAAACTGCAAGGAACCGTGTTGTCAACTGCATCCTCCAGCAAGCGCTTTGCCAGGAGCACATGGTAGCTGCAGCCTTGAAATATGAAGGATCTGGGGGTGTACCACCAGAAATTCGGATGTGAACAGCAACATCGAAAGAAAAATGATGATTTGACAGTGACTTCAGGCTGGATTGATTTTGGTTACCCTCTCGTCTAACAAAACACCATGGAAAATGACGCATTAAGCTAGATATTTTGCATATCTATACATATTGGATTCCTCCTAGTGTGTAATCATATAGCGTCACTGGGCATCTACTGCATACATCTGCATACCTATTTACGCAAAGTTTTTTTGTGGGCAGTGGGAAGCCATTGGATGGTTTATGGAAGTGGGTCAATCTCTCATTAGCATCCCACTGAATTGAAATCAACAATCTTCAAGACACCAACCTTGTCTGCGGATTTGCCCATGATTCCATTCATATCATTCATGTACCCTTCCTCACGCAACATCCTTCATCTGCTTCTACCTCCATCTGGGGTCCTTTTCTCATGCCGGGCCCTACGCTCATCCAAGTTGTTCATGTTTGATGTGGAAACCATGATGGAATCTTGGTGAACCCGTATTTTGATTTATGTATACCACATGCTCTGATGTTGCTTAAGCCATCACTTACAGATATCTATAGTTATCTATGGCCATTTTAGAGATTCCTATCATATCACAATTAAAAAAAAAGTGTCATCCGCCACATGTATCCTCATTGCGACCAGCAACTGAAAGGAAGATGAATCAGCACGGAGAAAGTCATCCAACCTTGGAAGAAACGTTGCTGGAATCAGATGCACCGTGACTGGCGAGAACATGCAGATAGATATCATGAAAGGAGATAAATCATAAACAAATTGTAATATCATCAAAAGTCAAACATCATCAAACTATATACATACAATCTCTGTGAATTCGTTATCTTTTTTGCCGCGATGTTCGCTTTGAGCGGTGAATGAAGAGGCGCTCCTCCAAAAGCGGGTGGCTCAAAATCCCCGAAGTGGCTGATTGACACACATGCTACCCTCTGGTAAACTAACAGTTTGCTATTGAAAATGGCCCATAGAAATAGTTGATTTACCATTTCCCCAAAAAAATGCTGATTTTCAATAGCTATGTTAAATTACCAGAGGCTATGCTGTAGCCAAGTTTGCTCTCCATCACAAGTCAATATTCCCCACCTACTTTTACTAAACGTACCCCAAATACTAAAAACTAGCGTCCGCGTGAAATTTTGGGAAACTTCAGACCGGCCAATTTGATTTTTAATCGATCCCCTATCGAAAACAAATTAAAAATGAAGGTCCCATTTCAGGGTTTAACCCCTAACAATATATAACCCCGGGGTGTTTTTTATTAGGGTCCGTCTTTTAAGGTCGAAATATATACATTTTATATTAAGGTCTTTAATTTAATATTAGGGGAAAACTTCCGAATCCAATTTTTGGCAATATTTTAATTAGATTTTAACAGGAAATCTAATCGATTTTGAAATAGAAAAAAAATGATTATATTAGGGTTGATAATTTAGTATTAGGGGAAAGCTTCGAAATCCAATTTTTGGCAATAGTTTAATTAGATTTCAAAAGGAAATCTAATCGATTTTGAAAAAGGAAAAAACATGTTTATATTAGGGTTGATAATTTAGTCTTAGGGGGGAAGCTTCGAATTTCAATTTTTGGCAATATTTTAATTGGATTTTAAAAGGAAATCAAATCGATTTTGAAATAGAAAAAATGGTTCTTTATATTATGGTTTTTAATTTAGTATTAGGGGAAAGCATCGAAATCCAATTTTTGGCAATATTTGAACTAGATTTGAAAAAGAAATCTAATCGATTATGAAATGGAAAAAAATAGTCTTTTATACTAGGGTTTTAATTTACGTAGTATTAGGGGGAAGTTTTGCACCCGAATACTAAATACCCCCTTATAATAAAAACCGCTCCAAGTGTTTATTATTTTGGGGGGGACCACGGTTTAGCAATAGGGGGAAAGGATTCAAATCAAATAAAACTATGAATAGCTATAACACTGTACGTCAAATTTCATCTCCAAAGAAATATAAAGAAACATTGTCAAACCTCCATGAAAATCTCTCTTGAGATCTCTCATGCGCCAAATTTCCCCGTGAAGCTGGGCTTGACTCATGACGCCTAGCAGCTCATTCGCCAGCTCCACCAGTTTTCGTAGGGCTGATGTTTGTACAGGTACATGCAAACAAGACCTGGGATGATCATACCTCGGTTGACGAAATCACCAAAGATGTTCTGTGATGATGTCAGGAACAGAGAGCAAATAATTATAGCTTCAAAACTGAGAATTGAAATGAAATGTATTGAATTATATTGAATTAATATGGTGTTCATCTTATTAGTTGCTTCTCCCCATGAACATGATTTTTTGCCGCCCATCGCGGCAAGCAAATTTGCAAACTCCCGACTCCCGGCACCCATGAGATGCGCGGAGTCGCTGATGGCATTGCAATATTCCTGGTCGAGAACAGTGGAGAAACATGAAACCACAGTTAAATCGTTGTTAAAGTGTTAATGAAGACCATATCTAAATGAAGACCATTCTCTCAACATGTTTTCAAAACCATGTTCAAATCGCTTCAAATTAGGGGACAAAAACCTGGCTTTGTCATTTGGGGATGGCCCGATTGGTGATAAAAAACGCAACATGTCCAAACTCCTGTGAACTCCCAGGAATCAAGGCCAATCTCGGATACCTTGTAACAAACATTAACAAACTCAATGTTTAGCTGGTGATTATAATATATATATATATGTATATACATATGTATATGTATATATTCATATGTATGTATATATATATATCTATGTATGTATTATATATATGTATATATATATATATGTATATATATATGTATGTGTATACATATATATATATATATACATATGTGTATACCTCCGTTCAAAGCAGCAGCAAATGAAGTTCAGCCGCCAGGATTCAAATTTGAAGTTCCTACTGACTTCATCTCACTTCAAGTGGTTCCGAAAAACAGGAAGTGCACCAAACACGAAGCCAGTCAACCCATGTTTACCCCCCGTGTATATATATATAGATATATGATATCAATATTTCAAAAAATAAAAAAACTACATATGTATATATATATATATAGATTTATAATTATGTAATTATATATGTATAACTATATCACCTACTCAACCAATCCACATCCTGCTGGCCCAACTGGCCTGCAGTGGTGTCATGCCATCTAGGCTTCGTCGATCCCCATTCCTGAGATCGAAAAAAAATCGTCCGTTCAAAGGGTCAGAAACCAATGTCCCTGGACTTGAAAAAGGGACGAACGATGGGACCTCCCCCAAGCTGTCCATACTTTTCAGAGAACTCAGGTTTCTTGAATGTAGTCAGTGGTTTAGAATTCTTGAGTAGGGGTCACATCAAGGCCCTTATAATTTCCACATTATGTGGGAACTTGCCGCTTAAATCATTGCTTGAGAGTATATCTATCCATGTATTTATATATATATAAATATATATATAAATATGTGTATATATAATCATATATATATATTATTTGATATATATATATATATACATACATTATTTGATATATATATATATTGATATATATATATACATACATTATTTGATATATATATATATCATCTGATGTGTATACTGCTGTATGTGTGTATATATATATATATACACGTGTTCCAACACTGGAAAGCTTCCATTTGTATGCTGTACCCAAAACCCAAAGGTGGCTCAACTGGAATAACTCCGACATCCAAAAAAACGGCCATCATTGATCTAGCTCCCCAAGAGAAGGAACGAAGTGATTACGAAGGTTCTACCGCTCTTGATTTGGTTTTCCTTTGAAAAATAGGGATGCAACCCACTTCCAAGTTAGGCTCCATGTTGGCAAGGAAAACTAAGGCCACATGTTCCATCCTAAAAAAGTGGAGTGTCAAACATTGATTCCATGGGGTCCCCAATTTTGGGAGGATCTCATAGAGAAACGTTTGTTATTTGAAAGATTGGATATTGGCATGTCTACTCTACATTGTTGATACATTGACATACCCTTTTTTTCCTCCTTGTGGTTAGTCAACAGCCACAAGTAGGCAGAAAACTTGGAACCCTTTTTTCATTGCTGGAGAAACATCATCTGTAAATATCTATAACATCATGGATGTGTGCACAGTTTCTTTTTGGGGATCCCTGCAGGATGGTGCCCCAGGTGTTCGTTGGTTTGTAAACCCCATTAACTGCAGTTATATCTACCTAATCAACCATAGAATTCAGCCACAGCCATATCTCAACTGAACGCTATCTTGGGGGGCCCATCCTGTAGAAAGTAAACAATGAAATCTGATCCGGTTGGAGTTGAACATGGCTATTGACATGGGAAATTCGTTATGAATACATTCTGAAACATCAAAGGGGAATGGCTTACTGGTGCTAAAAAAGTGGGAATTTTTGGGAATGATCCACTGGCGAACTATGAATAATAATCCCAGCAACCCCCAGCAACCCATCCATTCCCTACGTTCAGCACCAGTAAGTCAAAGTATGTCCCACTATACCATTGAAATAGTGGACTTTTCCCATTAAAAATGGTGATTTTCCCATCAAAAATGGTGATTTTCCCATTAAAAAGATGGGGAATGGGATTAGACAAGTCTCAGCTTCGAGCTGGGACTTTTGTTGATGCCGCTGATCTGGTTGGTGATCTCAGGGGCGGGGTGAAAAAAGTGGCCCCGTTTGGGAACCGACGAACGAGAAATCCACAGTTTGAATCAAGACTTCCTTTCGGAAGTTATATATATATAATTATATATATATATATCATTAAATGTATATTCTTATATTTATGTACATTATTATATGTATATTATAATATGTATATTATAATATGTATATTATTATATGTATATTATTATATGTATATTATTATATTTATATTATTATATGTATATTATTATATGTATATTATTATATTTATATTATTATATGTATATTATTATCACATATATATATATACATATTTATTATTTTATGATATATAGATATTATTATATATATAATATATACTATAATATATATATATATATATTGTGATATATGTATATATTATTACATATATTAATCTATATATTATTATATATTATTATATATTATTATTATTATCATTATTATTATCGTTATTATTATCATTATTATGATCATTATATATTTATATATACATTTACATATACATATATATATACCCATCACTTCAAGAACCCGAAAAAATCAAGGGTTTCACGATTTGACCTGTGTTTGAAGATAATTACGGGTTGCCCCGTTTTTCTTGGGTTTCTCTTCTGGCTCAACCTCGCACGCGTCAACTCTTTCTTTTTGCGCCGAATCCTCAGGAGTTTCAAAATGTTAAATGGTTTGAAGCATCCCTTCTGCAGACCATGCAGCTTGGCAGGCTACTAAATATCTTTGGAAAGATCGTCTGATAGCAGTCTGTGGATTGCACCGGCGTACCAGTCGGCAAATTTTACCGACGCAATCTTCTTCAAGTTGGCATCCAAGTGATAAAGGGTTCAACACGAATGATGCCAAATCACACTCCCAATGCATCCCTTTAACAGTGTGGGCCTGCATGTGAGCCTTCGCATTGAATAGGAAAAGAAGCCTATTTTCTGCAATGGCCTGGGCCGCCATCCGCTGATGTAGCACCAAAAAGTTTTCCCATTGTGAGGCGATGGAGCGGGCAATGTGGCCAGGTATCCACAAAGGTTGGAGGTACAGCCTTGTGAAGACTTGGTTGGCAAGGCTAGTTGCCGTAGCCTTACGAGCCACGCATGTGCAAATCAATCCGTACCAGGAAAAGTTTGGAGCTTTTGGAGATGTAAAAATTCAAAAAACAAACAAAAAATGCCAACTCTACCTTCATGGAACTGCCTTCATTAACAGCGAGCCGTCCTCAAACGTATTCCGCCTGGAATTCAGCCAATGATCCAACCACTTCACCAGGGAAGTGGTGAAGTTTCCCTTCGTCCAGCTTCCTGACGGGAATTCATTTCCGATCAAGTTGAACATGTTTGCAGAAAATCTCGAAGCATATACCTGTCTGCGGTTCTGCTTGCAATATGCTTTATAGTCTTCGAACAAGGAATCCACCTTCTGGTCCATGTTGCTGCCATCAGCAAGTGGGCAAATAAGCTTCATGCAATTGGCTACCAAGGCTCGGCCTTCGCCCAGGTGCCAGTTGTGCCAAGGGTCTGGCGCGAAGAAAGTTGCAGGGAAGGATCTGTCGTGTGGGCACGAAGCAAGCAAGTCTGGGTATTGTGTCCACGGAACTGTGGTGCCCTGCGTGAAGACCCATTCCCCGTTCATTGTGAGGTCCTCATACGGCACGTCTGGGACACCGGCATCACACAAATGGCACACTCCAGTACATGGTGTCCGTGAGGATTCTTTCTTGGGTGCGTTGTGGAATGATCGCCACAAGTGCCCAACCTTTAACAGAAAAGGCCAATCACCTTTGCAATACAAAGTTGCTGCCCAAAACCGTTGGTTGTCCGGCCCTGTGATACCAGTCGTGGCCAAAGTTGAGAAATCATCAGCAAGCCGATCAACCAGACCGAAGTAAGCATCATCATTCTCTTCGTACCACGATTTGGGCAAAACTCCCAAAACAAATCTTGTGCAGAATGTTGAGCCAGAATAATTCATACCTTGCTCTGTGCCAGGCTTCCTTTTTCTCTTTGTCGCAACACCCTTTCCTAGGATTGAGTGCGCGTTGACAATCAGCACGCCCTGCTTCTTTTTCCCTCTGCCTTCGTCTCCATGAATCAGAAAGGGCAACGTCCTCTTCAGCACGACTTGGCCAGCATCACTTGCCTCGAAAATCATATGGGATGGCCGGCACACTCGAAACCGATCCCAGAACAATTGCAGTTGCGACTCCACAGCTGTCATGTCCCTTTCGGCAACTCCAGCAAGTTGGTGCCAATTTCCTGTCTTCCTCGGATCACTGGGTGTGGCACCGTTGGAAGAGTTGCAGAAAGAAACACAAGCAAAGTGGGGACACAAACAAACCCCAAAAACAAACCTGCCACAATGTTGATGCTAGGTGCAAGATGAAGCGGAGCCAATCAGAAAAGAGAATGCATGGGAAAGGGTCGTACCCATTGACTTTCACTTCCGTGGTCGGAATATCCAAAGCCAGCCCAAACTCACCAAACGTCTTGTGAACTGCAGACTCGGAATTTTTGCTCGACTTGTTACCTAAATCTCTCAGACCTTGCGAGACAGACCTCCCGGCTTCTGACGCCACCGCCTTGGCTGTGGCAATGACAGATGCGCACGAGGCCTCAGCATCGAATGCCGGTGACCGACCGAACCAAACCAGCTATCATTGGGGACACCTTTTGGCTCGACCTGTGTTGCCTGAGTGGCTTAGGCAATTTCTCTCATCTCCAATATATACCGTAGCTATAGATATATGCCAGGCTGCATGGCTGCGAACAGCATTTCTATAATCAGAAATGGAAGAGCTCAACTTTGGGGGTTAGGGTCTACCATGTTGCTAAACCTGTTGCCGAGGAAGCCCCACCATGGCACCTTTGACGTTGCTTTTTCGCCAGCTGGAAACCCAGCAGTTGAATGGTGATGGTAAGCCAAAATATTCAATCAACTATATACGTTAATTGTTTTTTCTTTATGGGCTATACCGTACCCAGGTGGGCAATGGCCGCCATGAATTTGTGGATACTTTCCGCTCATATACTGAATATGATATCCCGGCTCGTGGGTTTTTAAAATCTTACCCAGGGATGACCCGATAGAATTTCTACATTGAATGTTTGATGGTTGGAACCCAAAAATATGGGGGAATATGGGGGGATCTACATTGGCCCAGTTTCCATGAATCTACTGCGCGAAATGGCTTCCAGAAACGTTTTAACACCTATCAAACATCTTATGTTTAGTTGTTTAATCTGATGGGTTATTTCATTTCCTTAGGCCCCATGTTTACTCTTATGGATGGCATAAGAATGGGGAACGGAATAGACTCCACTTTGGGATGACCCCTTTGATTTCCTTTGGTGGGGTAGATTGTGGTGTAGGCAGCTGTGCTGTGCGCGAAATCGGCGTAAGATCTTTACTGAAACATCGTGCGCGCTGATGGCATCAGGGGCAACAATTCACCACAGCATGCTGTGTCAGCTACGTCTACATTCTTCTAGTCGCTATTTCTGCTACTGCAATTAACTCTATTCCATCTTTCTAGTCGCTATTTATTCCTGGGTTCTCGTTTAGTTTGCAAACCAAAACCAACAATCAAATTTTGGGATATTTATATTTGGAATGTTGTAAAGTGTAACCAGCTAGCAAGTGCTTGGTCAACCTGCTGGGGTAGGGCCACGCCAGAACCCAGCCCGGTGTGAGGCTGTGGCCCCATCAGCGATGTTTCGCGCCAGCTGGCGCAAAGTTTGCCCTGGACCTGGCGTGAAGCGAATGGGAAAGACCCGAAAATAAGGCATTGGATACAGGGCTATCGGGGCACCAACAACTCATCACTAGTGTTCTTTTCATTTCATCCCAGCAGGGAAGGTCCAGAAACAACCCACAAGTTGATAGTAGAGTTGATCCTGGTGACTTTTTTTTTGAACCATTGTTTCGTGTGCACCTGTGTGCAAAGATCAATGCTACCAACAAGCGACAGTAGACACAACATGTGCATTCACACATTGCGCAGGTAAAAGTAGTGAGGCCTGTCCCTGCACATGTTCAATGCCAAAATTATGGAAAATATTTTATTGTTGGGTCTTTTTTGGATATAGGGGACCGGATAGCCAGGACACCAGACCTTACCAAACCCCGTTTGGATTTGGAGCCCTGCAGCTGCAAGGATCGTACCCCGAAAACTCTACTTGACTCTTCAAAAAAAAGAGTTCCCACAGCTCAAGGTGGCATTGCAAATGCCTTTGCATTTTGAAATCGGCGCCAAAGGCCACAAGCCGCATCCTCACCCGGAAACTCTCAGGCTTTCTTGCTCTTCGGCTTCTTCTTGCGGGGCTCCTAGGTGAGCAGAGGAAGGGAAAACTTAGGAAGGTTCCGGAATCAAACCTTCGTTAAGCCATGGGTTGGAGATTTCAACCATTGGTCACAGAACCCTGGGAAATAAAGTAGCCAAGTGGCAGGTGCCGGCAATTGATTCTGTTCAGATGCGTCTGGCTTGTTCCTTTTATTTCCCGATGCTTCCGACTTCTTGGTCCAAGCGACTTTGGCACTCCTCAGACAGAATGAAGATTGGGATCCCTGAAGCAAACAAACTGAAACTTTATGTCTTCGGTTCATGGTTGGAACAGTATGGGCTGGGATCCACGTAGGCCCCCTACTTGATCTTCACCTCCAAGGCCAATCCCTCTGAACACCTGACAGGAAAATGACTTGGGAGTTCGGGGACCCATCCATGTTTTTTTTTCAACATGACGTATACGCTGCCAAGGCTGATTCAAAAACAAATCAGTGATTATGTCTGGACATGTCTGGACACACCATTGGGTCTGGCACACATAAGTGGCTGCCGAGATCACTTTGTCGATCTCATCGTTCAACCTAGTCGGGAAAGACTTGAGGATTCGATAAATGTTTTTTTCCTTATCAAGTGTCAGTCCATATGGAAAACTCTAGATGAGTGGCTTTCCAAATCCCTGTAACTCACCCTTGGTCTTGACAGCGATGAGCTTGTCGTACTGATCCTCCATCGCCGAAGTCTTTGTGCCCAGGTCAGTGACAGCCCTCAGCAAGAGAAAGCGTGGAAAGGCAAATGGGCAGGGCAAAACAGTAGAACAAGTTTCACTATTACACCAAAAAATGGATCATGGTCAGCCATTTGAAATTTTGGAAGCTAGGAAACTTGGTGGCGCGAGAATCATCGTATTGCTTTGAAAGTTCCCCAGCCAACTGGTGAAGCTTTGCAACTTTGGACAGCACTGACGTGATGAACGTGTTCAACTCATCAGCCTTCCAAAGCTGAGGGTAGAATGGGCAAGTCTAAACTCAAACTGTGTTGGGCATGTCAAACACCATTGGATTACAATTTGGTCTTGACATGTCTTGACTCGTTTCTATCTCACAAAATATCCAAAGATCCCCAAATTCAGTAAGAGAATGATTACAGGATACCCAATAATATTGTTAGTTCACGATGGTGTTAAGCAGTATACACGCTGTAGCCTACGGGGGTATCACCTTGTTGTGTTCCTTCTCATCCTCCTTTTCATCAGAAACTGAGCGATACATGGACCCATCGAAATGAAGCGGTGCTTCAGGCGCCATGCCATCTGCCATATCGCCCTCAGCGGCGCTGCTTCTCAGAACGGTCGGGCTCAGTGATTGGGTCACTAGTTTCAAAGCTGTTGGGGTGGCAATATATGAATTGGACAAGGTACTTCACCAGCTTCAGTCCGGGTATTGGATTCACGTTCGGTATTCTTTTCCATATACTCGGCTGATCCAGTAGTCCGAACATCAACCCAGAACTCCTCAATGCCATCATATTGATTCTTCCTCACCAGAACGAAGGCGGGATTAAAGGTATAGCAGATAGCAAACAACACAGTAACCCCATATTGCGTGACAACCCATCACCTACCTGACCATAGTTTTGTAGTTTCTGCGGCACTTGCGCGCAGCTCCCTCAATGCGAGCCCTTGGTCCAGGTCCAGGATTGTGGGAGAAAAACGGGAGAACATATGGGGTTGCTACTAATGTTTTTTTAAAACCCTTCGCCCAATATTGAGTACGTATAATCCAATATATAATCTAGGCAGGGAAGAATAGCAATAACTGCTGAAAGCTTCCATGCAGTTTCATCCATGGCGAAAGAGGGGACAAAAGCCAGCATCCCATCTACACCTCTTTTTTCGGGGTCGGCGGCAGGGGCCCTAAATATAATCCGATATCGTTTCAAGGTGGTGTTCAATATTTGGGGAATGGGATTGAGATAACAAAGTGCATACCAACTATGAACTTAATGAATATCATTTCAATAGCTGAGACAAGGACTCATCCCATTTCAACTCATCGGCCATCTCGGTCTTGGAATACCACCCTTTCGGCCATCTCGGTCTTGGAATACCACCCTTTCAGTGTCTCCAATTTTTTGCGGCTGACTTCTCCTTCTCGTAGGTCAATCTGTTGATGAAGGCGCCCTGTTGGGAAAACCAAAAACATTGGAAAAACCTGAAACATCATACGATATACGGTGTTTTTGAAATTAAGGAATGCAAATTTAAGATTGTTATTGAGGCCCGGACCCGGTCCCAACCAGCAAGCTCAAACTGCCGGGTCATCTCAGCTCGGTTCTGTCGGTTGAGCCATTGCTCATGAACCCACATTGGGCAAGTGATCTTCCCGCTTGGCTTTTTCTCGCAGTACCGCCTGAGGCGCGCTTCTTTGGCGGCTTGGGACTCGCCAGGAGGCACCTGGACCGAGAATATGTTTGGATACGTGTGTCGTATGCACGTCGCTGTTGTCACATGAGAGTAATGCTTTATCTTCAGAGTGGCGCCTCACCCTCACCCTTTGAAGATGAAGCGGTTGCCTAAGGGAATAGCAAAACATAGCAAAAGAAATCAGCACAATATCGGTGTAAACATCGTGATAGTGAACCACATTTGCCTGGCTAACTAACAGGTACCCCCTTCAACTATGGTGCGAACATGGTGCACTTCCAGCTTCATCGCTCACAGGTTTCTGGGCTGGGCGTGGTTTCAACCCAGTCTGGTTCTCAGCTGGCTTCGCCGTTTTGGGGGCGGAAGGCAAATCATCAGGGTCAGGCTTTGCATCTCCTTTTGGAGGGGGGGTATGGCAAGTCAAGCGTTGGCTCTTCCAAAAGGCCACCTCTAGCATAGCGGCTTGAAGCTGAGCCTTCAAATCCACCTGTGGCGCGTGATCATGCGGAAGAC